AACCAAACCAACACCCTCCTCCATACTGCCCATCGTACCAACCCCGTCCCCCCTGAACCAACCTCTTCCCTCATACTGCTCCCCTCCCTCCCCCCAAATTAGACCAACCCCTCATACCAAATTAAACCAAGCCCTCCCCCATACTTCCCCCACTTACTTCTGTAGCCGTGCCATCGTTGTGATGCCCACCTCTTCTCTCTCCAGTCGTGACGTTTTGTTGTAATTTTTCCTGTCCCTGACACAATGTGGCTATTTCACAATGTGACTATTTCACAATGTGTCTATTTCACAACGTGGCTATTGGACAATGTGACTATTTCACAATGTGACTATTTCACAATGTGTCTATTTCATAACGTGGTTATTGGACAATGTGACTATTTCACAATGTGGCACAATGTGACTATTTCACTATGTGGCTATTTGACAATGTGTCTATTTCACAACGTGGCTATTTCACTATATGGCTATTTGACAATGTGGAAGTTCTGCCTTAATCAATCACAGTCGTAATTATTCATTGCTTCTCCTTTCATTTTGTCAGAGCGGGCGGTTGAAGAGCGCAACTGGTAGGTCCTACTTCTGTCTCATCCCTCTGGAATATTTTTGTCTGTGCTTCTCTCGTGTCCAGCACTCTATGACCGTCAGTGTGCCGTTGTACTTCTGTTTGGCGTGAAGGAATCCGTTGTTTTTATTTGTAGACACAGTCGTATCGTCTATGTCTCTGTTACTAGTAGGAGCGTGTGTGATTGTAGCAGGGGTGAGCGGAAAAACATTGTTTAGTACCTAACTTCCCTGCAGCAGCGATGATGAGTGTAATAGCAGTAGGGCTGAGCGGAACAGCATTGTTGAGTAGCCTGCCTAATTTTCCTGCAGCAGGGGTTATATAATCTGTTTTTGGGTTTTTTTTGTTGTGTTTGTAGTCAGCCAGTGCAGTGTAGTGATAACTTGTTTCTTTCCTTGTCTTCTTCCTCTCCACTCAGAGTTTGACAGGTTCCTGTCGGAGAGAGCGACGGCGTCGGATGACCTGCCCAGCATCGCCGCCCAGACGGGCCAGCAGCCGGCGCGGACCACTCGCACTTTAAAGAAAGACGAAGACGAAAACCCTCTGTTTGCATTGTGAAATCCCACAGTCGTAGTGGTGGTACATGTCTCTGTTAGCATCCTCACTCACTCAAAGCTTCTTTAGTTGGCCTGTGTATATGTTTGCATGAACATTTGTGCGCGCGCGTGTTTGTGTGTGTGTGTATGTATAAATATATATATATATATATATATATATACAGAGCACTGTAATATTCAGTGTTAACATGGTATGAGTAATGTCTAATCTGGCCATTTTCTTTCATATTTTCTAAAAGGGCATGTCTGTTAACTCAATTATGAATCTGAGTTCTTGGCTTGTTTAGTTGAAGTACAAGAAAGGATGCATCAAAGAAAACGTTTCAAACCTTTTGTCTTTGTGTGCAATCAATTTTCAGAAATAAGCAATGATTACTTATTTGTTACAGTGTTGATAACCATTTGTTTAATTGAATCAGGATATAGGTATATATCTAATTTAGTCTTTATTATTTAAACCTCCATTTAGTAAACTGTTTTTTGTTGTTTTTTTTTGTCCTTTTTTTTCATGTTTTGAGTGTTATAGCAAACAAGAGAAGAAATTGTGTCATTTCCCTGACATGATTATCTCTTAATCAATAGACACTTGTGTGAATTTAGATTTTTAACAACTTTTGTCTATACTTTGACAGTTACTTTTTCTCTATGATCTTTCTGTTTTCCTTTACCTCCGGCTTGCAAGAGACAGAATTATAGCGGTCTCTGTAGAAGATGCAAGAAGAAATCTTTACTGAGGGTTGCATGCGTTTTTCTAAGCGTGGACGTTGATCGTTTTATTTACGTCGTCTGAAATGTTGGATTTAAAACCCAGACCGGATATTTGTTTTCTCTTCTATTTTATTTTCTTTCTATATTTTTTTGTCTGAAAGAAATAAGGACTGTTGTTTCCAGTACATTTCAAAGACGAACAAAGGGAAATACAGCTGTGCTGCGCGCTCATATGACCTTACGCAGTTGCGAGCACCGTAAAACCCTATACTACTACTACAGCTGTGCTGTTTGTATGTACGCTTGTCGTGGATATCTTCTATTGAACGGCCGTAGCCTCAGAGGTTTGACAACAGCACTGTTATAGTGAAAATGAAAATCGTGAGACGCGTATCGAGGGAGAAGAGGTTTCTGCTTTCCTTCTCCGAGTTTTCTCCTGTCCAAAATACTGACCCTGTGGTATACAGGAAAACTCTCTTGCTGTTGTTGATAATTAATCTGCTTCTGTATTGCTATGGTTGGGGGATTTTTCGGGGGGGGGGGGGGGGGGGGGGGGGGGTCAAGAAATTCATGATTTGTTTCATACATTTCCCCATTCACAGAGAAGTAAAAATCTTGGCAATTTGTTTGTTTAAATCTTTGGAATATAAAAATTGGGCAGGTTTATTTTTTTTATTAGTTTTCTCTCACCTCTGGCTGTGCCGTTTTGGGTAATTGAGAAGTAATTCCTCATTGTTATCTGTTGTTAGTACTGTTGTCTCAGCTATATATCATCTGAAATATCGTTGTGATAAAAGCAGAGTAGTTTTGAGGAAGAATCTATATCTTCGGTGAAGCACACTTCATTCTATTATAGGGCTGAATTTGTTGTTTCTGTAGTCACATTTCGGTGTTTCCTTCTGTTTCTGTTTCCATCCTTTTTGTTCAGTGGGTTTTTTTGCTGATGGTGTTTTCCACTTTTATTATCAACCATGTTGACACTTTTCTTCTGTGGTTCTGTCATTAGAGGCTAGGTTTAATTGTACAGATTCTTTACCTTAACTACACTTGTATTTTTAGTAAAATCTAAAGGTAATTATTTCATGTCTGCATGTAAGTAGCTGGGTTTTTTTATATACAAGTTTACTACTAAATTCATAACTTTGTATTTATTCTGTACCGAGATTTGATTTAACTCTTTCTTCAACGTAAAGGGGACCGTTCTTCCCCACTGTAATTGTAAGACGGTTATGCGTATAATTACGAGAAAGGTGGAAAGGCGCAAGACTTTGTGATTCCAGGATTGCACGTTTCTGATGGTGTGTCGGTGCTCATTGTTCAGTATGCCCGTCAGTGTGTGAAAGGATTGTGTGTTGCTTTGTTGTGTGTAGACTGCCCTAGACTTCCTTGGTGTTTCTCACATATTGTGATGGCTGTTATGGGGTATGTTCTTGTCTTAGCGTCCCAGCTGTTCCACATATGTGAGGCAGGGTGGTGGAATCAGGCTCTCGTCAGTTTTTGGGCATGTAGAGTTATTGGTATCATCTTAAAGCTTGTTCACTTGTCTTTATTTGGATGAAACAATTATCCATTCATCTGGAATACAAGTCGAGATATTTTCGAATGAAAGAGGTGGGGGTCACCTGTTTTCAGAGATAAAATTAGTGAGAAAATGGCTGCCAAGGATTAGTTATTTCCTTAGCTTTAGAGTCCGTGGTAACTGAAAATGTACATTTTTTTTGCCTTTAATCAACGTTTTTCAGAAAAATCCACACAGAAATGAGTTCTTTAATGGGCATGAAAGGTGTTGAGCCAAAAAACAAAAATTTGATAAAAATTCACAAACCTGCAGAAAAATGCAAGTGTCTTCATTTTGATTATTTTGACGAGAGCCTGATTCCACCACGCTGCCTCACACATGGCGCTTAAAGTTAGAGCTGAAATGTCTTGGTGTGGGCACTCCACAAAGAATTCATCCAGAGTAGAGCCGAGTCATTTGTGGTGAGGTTGTGAGGATAATGTAGTGCTCAGGATGCCTAATGCTATGCTTTGAAACTAATCATTTTGTAGTAGAGCTTGACAAAGTCATTACCTTGCTAGATCAAGAACTGGACACATAAGTTTTTGTACACAATTTGAGGTTGCAAAACGTGAAAGTGCTATATATATTGAGCTTTTTTTTATATCGTGTCTATTTTGACAAATTTTGCTTTGTCATTCTTTTGCCTGATTTATTATTTTTTTTTGTGATACAGCCTGATATTACATCTTTTCTCTGCTCCTCAGTCTCTTCTTTGCAATGATGGGGTTCATTGTTTATTAAAAACTTTACGTTGATTTGCAGGAAGCTCTACGTTGTAGTTAGTTAAGTCTTTCAAGTGTAAGAAATGATCATTCAATTGTGCAAATTGTCTTTGAAGTCATAAATATGGAACTAATGTCTAAGGAAAGTCGTTCTGTTACTCTGCGGGGATTGTTTAAATGAAGAGACTAGGTGGGTGGTTGGCGGGTGCTCTGGTGTGGTTTGCTCCTTCTTTCCTATCAAACATCTGTCGTCTTTATCTCCCCTCCTCCTTTTTTGTGTTTGTTACTCACTTGTAACACCTCTAATCTTCGGCACTTATATGACCTTATTGTGTTGCAAGTGCCGTAAAATTCAAACTAAAACTAAACTAAGAGACTGTAGGACTGACCAGAGGGACACGGCAGGTGCGTTGTTATGTTCATGGTTCTCCTCCTCAATCGACGAGGAAATGGGTTGGAGTGAGCAGCGAAGCTTTAACTTTAATGGATTATGTAGCTGGAGCAGCTGATGGATGTATTCACTGCAGCCGATTTAAAATTATTGCTCGTCTTGCTTGTGTTTAACGGCTTATGGGCTCGAAGTGTCAATCTAGTTCTTTTTGTGGAGACTTTGAATGGGGTTTTTTTTTCCTCTACTTCTTTATGTGTATGTCTGTTAATGGATACGAAACAAATGTTTTTTCAGATTTACATGATATTTCATGTGCCATGTGATTTTTTTCATCTGTTTACTTTAATTAAATGTGCTATTATTATGAATATGTTGATTTTTGGTTATATTTATTAAGGCTTTTTAATGCTTTTTCTTCTTTTTTTTTGTTTTTGTTGTTAGGAGTTGCGAATTATACGTCGTATGTTGTGGTATTTTACAGAAACTGTTTTACCGTAAATTTATATTCTAATTAATTTTGGGTGTGCCTTGTATCTGTATGAGACCGGGAGCCGTGCGGATGCTGAGGGGTTCAGACAGTAATTATTGACCGCACGGGAGATTGGAGTTGTTATGGTTACTCACATAGAGCATCACAGCGTGTGTATTTACTGCAGTATATGTGTGTACTGTGGTATATGTGTGTACTGTGTGTGTACTTCGGTATATGTTTGTACTGTGGTCTGTGTGTGTACTTCGGTATATGTTTGTACTGTGGTATATGTGTGTACTGTGGTACTTTGTGTACTGAGATGTACATGTGTACTGTGGTATATGTGTGTACTGTGGTATATGTGTGTACTGTGGTATATGTGTGTATTGTGGTATATGTGTGTACTGTGGTATACGTATTAACTGTGGTATATGTGTGTACTGTGGTGTATGTGTGTACTGTGGTATGTGTGTGTACTGTGGTATGTGTGTGTACTGTGGTTATGTGTGTACTGTGGTATGTGTGTGTACTGTGGTATATGTGTGTACTGTGGTATGTGTGTGTACTGCGGTATATGTGGTATACATGTTTACTGCGGTATAATTGTGTACTGCAGTATACGTGTGTAGGCCGACTGCGATGGTAGCAAGGGCTGGGAAATGAGGGTAGAGATCTGCTTTTAGACGTGTTTAACAAGAAATTTTTTTTCATTTTTTTTTCAAACTTTTTTTTTTTTAATTAAAAATTTTTGTTTTGGGGTGTTTGGTACCCAGCTGTTCATTTCCTGTTTTTTTCAGGTGTGTACTGCCCAAACTAGCGTTTTTCTGTCTGTGTCAAATTATAAGCAGATTTTATTTGCTTTCAAGATTGATTGCTTGCTTGATATAAGAAGTAAATGTTGTCGCTCAACTCAGCACAAATCTTTCCAAAGGGAATGCACTGCTTCTTCCGTATTCTTTGTTTGTTTGTTTGTTGGTGCGCAATGAATTTTGTTCTGTTCAGCCTGTCGAAAGTATAGTCGGATAGTGGATTATATTCTGTGGTCTTCATTTGGGGTTTTTTTTGTTTTGTTTTTTAAATTATTATTTACCCTGCTCATTCCTATCAAGTGGCGCTTTTGTGTTTAGTAGATCTAGTAGTTCCATCAAAATGTGCAGTGTTTTAAATTCTAAAGTTAAATTTTTGTGAAAAATGTTTCATAGTCTTTGCTTGTAAAGAGCTAAAAGTATTCGTCTAAGTGTAAGCCGTGAACCCTATGAAACCTTACTGGTCTGGGTGACCCTCGTACAACAAGTTACTGTGTGTGTGATATGACGTGAAGAAAGCTTACAATTTATTCTTCTGCCCAATTTGCGCTGAAGATGTGGACAGAACTGTCTGGAGAATTGGACAAAAACTTACTCTTGGCTGCAATATTGTTGGTGTCCCAGCTGGTCTCTTTGTACCGTAGTCCTCTTTTGGATGTGTTGCTTGGGAATGAGAATTTGTTTTGATCCTCTTCTTTATTTAAAAATCTGTTTCAGTTTGTCATGAAGGAAGGGATAGAGAAATTATTAAAGTATCTTTCAAAGCTGAACATTTTTCAGGTATAACTTGTGTTCATCTGAGTCAATGCTGTGGAGTTTGACCAAAAGATAACTAGTTGAATGAAGAAAATGTAACTGGTTGAATGAAGAAAAGATAACTGGTTGAAAAGTTGAATGAAGAAAAGATAGCTGGTTGAAAAGTTGAATGAAGAAAAGATAACTGGTTGAAAAGTTGAATGAAGAAAAGATAACTGGTTGAAAAATTGAATGAAGAAAAGATAACTGGTTGAAAAGTTGAATGAAGAAAAGGTAACTAGTTGATTGAAGAAAAGATAACTGGTTGAAAAGTTGAATGAAGAAAGATAACTGGTTGAAAAGTTGAATGAAGAAAAGGTAACTGGTTGAATGAAGAAAAGGTGAATGAAGAAAAGGTAACTGGTTGAATGAAGAAAAATTGAATGAAGAAAAGATAACTGGTTGAATCAAGGACAGCTAGCTGGTCGAAGGAAGAAAAGATAACTGGTTGAATCAAGGACAGCTAGCTGGTCGAAGGAAGAAAAGATAACTGGTTGAATCAAGGACAGCTAGCTGGTTGAATCAAGGACAGCTAGCTGGTCGAAGGGAGAAAAGATAATAGCTGAAAGAAGGAAAGATAACTGTTGGAAGGCATTTTGGTCGCAAGAGAAACAAGAAGAAATGTGCCCAACTTTGGGGGTTTCCATAGCTAGCATAGACCATTGATTTGTTCAAGAGATGAATGGGGTTAGACCAAGCGCACTGTTTTTGTTGCACTTGCACTTTTTAATCTTTCTTTTCTTCCATTGGTTGTTGCAATATGAATGAATGATCACATGCATTTCTGATGAAAAGGTTAAACTATTCACCAGTGAATAAAAAAAGGACGGGAGTTCAATTCCTCAGTGGGGGAAGGCTATTTTACGGAGTGACTCTGTCTTTCTATTATCACTAAGATTACTAAGAATGTGTATCTTCCCCCCCCCCCTCCCCCCAAGTGACAGGGTTGAAGCAATCAATGAATGAGTGACCAGTGTATTTGTTGTCTTGTATTTGGTCAAGTATTTGGAACCAGTGTTCTGCCACATATTTCCTCCTCCCCGTTGTTCAGTATATGTATATATGGATTACCCTCTGTCAGAGACCAAAAGATCCTTTGTACATTTATTATTAAATTAGTTTCAGAATATATGACTGGATGAACATTTCCTGTTGACATCTGCACATGTTTCAGAAGTAAATATCTGTGTACATTCTTGAATTGCGGTGGTTTTTGGAGTGCTTTTTTTAACAACTTTGTGAGTGAATGCTGGTATATTATGTAGGTGGAGAGTGCGACAGAGAGGTCCTACTGCTTCTCTTGTCCTCTGTTATTTTTATGAGGTCTTTGTATACTCTTTTCATCTGTTGCTTTTTTTAGATTTTTATATACTTGTCTTGTCCTCTGTTGTTTTTACTTCTTCTCTTATCCTGTTGTTTTTGTGAGGTCTTTAATACTTCTCTTTTCCTCTGTTGTTTCTGTGAGGTTTTTATATAATTCTCTTTTCCTCTATTGTTTCTGTGAGGTTTTTAGATAATTCTCTTTTCCTCTATTGTTTCTACTTCTTCTCTTTTCCTCTGTTGTTTCTGTGAGATTTTTTCATAATTCTCTTGGTGGGTGTTTTGCTCCTTCTTTCCTATCAAATATCTATCGTCCTTATCTCCCCTTCTTCTTTTTTATGTTTGTTACTCTCTTGTAACACCTCCAATCTTCTGGCGCTCATATGACCTTGTGCAGTTGCGAGTGCCATAAAACCTCTACTAAAACTAAACATAATTATCTTTTCCTCTGTTCCTTCTGTGAGGTTTTTATATGAGTCATTTTCAAAAAATTGTCACATTTTAGATTCTCATTTTTTCGAAAATTGTTATGAAAAGTTTGGAAATAGATCTAATATTTAAGAAATTAATCAACCATCTATAGACATAAATGTGAAATTTCTGAGCTTAATTCCGTCAAATTAGAGCGTCACGGCAACTTTTGGGCTAGAGTCCTAGTAAAAAGTTCTCTCCTGATACCAACAAAAATCATAGAGCTGTGTTACTGGAATAGATGGGGGGGGGGTTAATGCACTATATGTTGGTGAAACTAGGTCTATTCATCAGGAAAACAATTTAAAAAGCACTTCAGTTCAACAATCCACGCAAAATTATTTCGGATTTAAGTGCCAAATTTAAAGATCAGTGAAAATGTTAGAGTTTCAGTTGGTGATTCTCACTCAAAGATCAAACACGTTGTGATCATATGGGTTTCTATTCCTTTTACTTTTTTACTTTTAGCAGTAAGGTGAAGCTAGTCCCACACTTACTTTTTAAAAACAAAGTTCAAGATTTTTTTAATGAACGTAAAGAGGGGCGGTATTAGGAGGGAAACGTGGGTAACAAGAGAAAGTGGGTAACAGGAGGGAACATAAAAGACTTATCCGGTTTTAACAACAAAACTCATCAAGAATGAAACACATATTAGTGATATCATCAAAAGGAATCACCGAAGAATGGATGGGAATGTTGAAAGCATGATTCTGTCGAGACGTTATTTACTGGGTGTAGTTACCAGTGTAAAAGAACGAAGGCATCAAACAATAAGTGAGCGTCGAATCGAAATATATCGAGAGGATGTTTTGGACGCGTAATGAGAATAGGGCCACAACTGCCAGCCTCAAAGGTCTACAAGATGCGATTCGATGGCTTGGGAGCGAAAGGAAGACTAATTAAAAGATGGATCGATGGAGTCAAAGACATCCTTCAAAGGCACACTATGTCGATCGGAAAAGCAACACACCTGGCCGATGTCCGAGAACTGAATCTCTCCTCGACACCACGCAGTATAAGAGATCATAAAATAAGAGTAAAGTGTTGTGTAGACAGCGGGTTTTGCAAAGCCCGAGCGTGTGTGCTTTGTATTTCCTCTTCCATTTTACTCAAACAATTTTAGGGGGCTCTCGTGGCCTAGAGGTTAAGGTGTTGGCCTCTCATTCAAATGTCCCGGGTTCGAATCCGGGTAGCGACCGAAAAGTTTTCTTCTCTAAAATTGTCTCCTTTCACCTCCTTTCCTACTCTCTAGCAATATTCTGTCGTCTGCTTTCGTCTCCCCTTTCTGCCCCCACCCCCTCACCTCATTTACCCCCTCCTCTGGGCTCCTGACTCTTTCTGCAGCCTTTCTACTGTTACTCCTCGACTCCTTACAGCTGTCTTTCTGCCACACCCCTAATCTTCTGGTAAGAAAGACCTACATCTAGCCTTCTCGGACAAGGGGGGAAAATCTCGGAGGACCCGTGTGCAAGTTGCGCAGTTAAAGATCCCTTGTGGTCTGAAAATCGATAAGAGTAGGCTTCGACCGCCATCCGGGCAAAATTCAAAATTTCTTAACCTATTGAAAAAGTTTGGTGTGTCCCGCGCGCTCATATGACCTCATTTGCAGTTGCCAGCGCAGTAAAACACTTACCGAAAAAAACCCCCAAAAAACTACTTTCTTTGCTAGTCGGTAGTTGAAATGGCGCACTGGTTTTCACCTAAGCAATCCATGACAATTCCGTCTGGTTGTGTCCACCAAAATAGCCCAACACATGACAAGACTGGTGGGTTGGAATGTCCCAAGCAGCATTTCAGTTTGACCGTGTAGTGTCGTCAGCCATAAGCCCAGCCAGAACTTTAAAAAAAAATATATATTCTAATTTTCAATTTGGATGGCGTGGTCGCTTGTTACGGAAGTCCTTCCATTTTAAAAATTACCTGTTCTAGGGTAGGCCAACGATACCAAAATTAATAGAAAATAGTCTTGTTTTAAAGACAGACACGGAATGTTGACCTAGGCTCTGGCCACACTGCTTGAGCGGGCACAGCAGAGCGCGACAGTGAAAATACAAAGACAAAGACTGAAAGAGGTGACTGGTGGTGCGACTCGAGGCGGGGGTCAAGAGCAAAGATGGCAGTTTATTTATTGCCGCTGGCCTAGCTTTAAAAGAAATAGAAGAAAAAAAAATCAGACAGAAGGGGGGGGGGTGAAGAAGAACGCCGGGCGGGAAACATGAAAAGTTCTTTTAAAAATAACATCTTGATCTAGATTTCATCTAGATCAATGTAAAATTATCAAAATGTATAGCCTCATCACGCCGATTGGCGATGTTTACCACTCAGTTTCTTTGGATGATCCCCAAAATATGATGACAAAGTGTTAAAGTTTAACTTAAACCATCTGTTTGCCTGTTGGCTTTGCTAAAGTCACCTGCAGTGTGCTAGCTCTATGTGGAGCAAGTTGGATGTCATGAGATGGAAGGATTTGAAAAGTTTCAGGTCGTATCCGAATGTAGGAAACATTTTTCCTCATCCCTTAAAACTTCACCCAGAAGATCATTTCCGGATAACGAGCGGAGACAAAACATGTCACATTCGTTTCTCCCATTTTTATGTCGATCAGGGAAATGGGTCAGGCTGGAAACGAAAAGGAGCGGAGAAGAAAAGGAATGTACTCAGTTCAGTTTTCTCGGCACGTACAAGAAAATCAACGTAGATTTGGCATTGCGACCGAACCAGTTTCCGCTTGGCTTTTCTCCGTATACAACTGTCTTTTTGTCCATCGCCCATTTATACGAGATTGATGCCATCTAATGGTGGGAAAGGTGTGTATGGTGGTATCCAATGGTGTATAACGAACCCAGGTGTAACCTACAGGCTTAGATGCATATCAAGGATATGAGAGAAGGACATGTTAAATATAGATCTAAATGGCGAGTGATGATGAGGGGTGGTATTTATATATTGAAAAACTGGAAGATATTCAATTAACGCTTTTCAAGTTTTATTCAGATTTTTTTTTATTCGTTTGATGAGGACACATTTTCATACCAATTCCATGGATTGGTAGACAAAAAAAAAAAAATGTAATTACCAGAATTACATTTTATGTAAGTTTTTTTTTAGTACATACCGTACCATCAATATACCATTGAGGGTTGTGAATAACATTTGAAATTCTAAGCAAGCTGAACAAGGACGACATACAAATCGTCTAAACATTCTGTAATTTGACAGAGTTTCTCCTTTTGTACGTAGTCCTGTACAAGTCTGATCAAGTGCTGCAAGGCAAAGTAGAGACGAAGAAAGACACTGATGAACGTGAAATCCAGTGATCAACTTCATAAAAGCACAAATGGTCTACAACTTTCTAAAATAATAGAGCTACATCAACAGCGGTCTACAACAAATACAACAGCTGTCTACAACAAATACAACAGCTGTCTACAACAAATACAACAGCTGTCTACAACAAATACAACAGCTGTCTACAACAAATACAACAGCTGTCTACAACAAATACAACAGCTGTCTACAACAAATACAACAGCTGTCTACAACAAATACAACAGCTGTCTACAACAAATACAACAGTTGTCTACAACAAATACAACAGTTGTCTACAACAAATACAACAGTTGTCTACAACAAATACAACAGTTGTCTACAACAAATACAACAGTTGTCTACATCATAAAACAACCAGCCAACAATGGTCGACACAATACGTCAACAGAGACCGGGGAAGACGTGGGCCTGCTGTGGCAAGAAATGTAACACCAACGGACGAACAGAGTGACCGATGGGACGAGGTCTTGTGACGTCACCCATGTGGACATGGCCTGGACGCCCTCCCTGGCGTGGCCAAACTTCGTGGAGACCAATTCCCGCGACAACTATACACACCTGGTCCTCCAGCTCACAACAGGGGCTCACAATCTTCCTGTACCAGAAATGTAGAAATGTGTCCGTGAAGGGTCGACGCAACATACAAGGGGTAGGCAAAAGTGTATACTAATTTATACAGGAACATTTACTGCTTTTATTAGTCAATTAGTGTACTTTGTCCAATGTAATAAAGCATAGTCGCATTAATCCCCCATACGCAAACAGTCATCTGTATGTATGCAGTGCTAATTTTAAGTGCAGGTAACAATGCGATACTGTATATCTACTTCGTATATAAGTTTTTAAAGACAAAATGATTTGATCGATTGAACAAGCCTCCAAGTTAATAGTACTATTGATACGAGTACATGTATGTGAAGCGCATAAAGCACTTTATCGGACTTCCGACTCACACGAGTAATTAAAAGACAGGAATGCAAATAATGTTAATAAATTTGCACTTTTAAGGACAAGCGGGCAACGTAGATTTCGGGGGTTTCCAGAAATATTGACCTTCACCAAAAGTGGGCATTTTCCTACCTATAGGAGAAGTTTCATTAGTGTGTATATTTATTGTTTGGTTATAGAGAAACTGAACAAGGGTCCAAAAACTTTTACTTACCTTTGATTTTCTTAAAACATCGTCTTACGGGATAGCCCCTTGTGCTTAAAGCAACCAAATGGTAACAGTTTTCAGCGATATGGGGGGGGGGAGCTCAAATGAAAAAAAAAAGGAAATTTCCAGAGAGAAAAAAAGCATTGAACAGAGCACCACTTAGAATCCTGCACATGACAAAATAGACCCAGATTTTTTCGATTAAAAAAAATAATTGGGCTTTGCCCAAGCAGGATCCAGGGCCCTAGCGAAAGTCAAGGCGCTCGAGAAAATACCGAGGACAAAAATATGAAAGCGTAAACAAAGAAACATTCACCCCCTAAACTATTGGAAAGCCCAAGAATAACCCCTAGATCCAGAGTAGAAACGAAGATTCTAAACAGTCACTGGAAAGACCCAGGATTACGCCTAGGTCCAGAGAAGAAACGAATATTCTAAACAGTCACTGGAAAGACCCAGGATTACGCCTAGATCCAGAGAAGAAAAGAATAGATTTATTCTCAACAATTATCGGAACGCCCCAGAGGTACCTCTAGATCTAGTTTTCAGCGTTGTTGGAGCGGCAAATGAGGACGCACAGACGGTCTTTAGGAATATGCTGCAGCAGTTGGACCAGAAGTGACCCACGTTGTTGGACCAAGTTCTCACACTTAGGCCTCAAGGGACCGGGGGCGAAGTCACACAACCTGTCTAGGCCACTATCAATCTGCGCCTGTTGATAAAACAATGTTAACAAATTTGATAAGTCTACAGTAGAAAAAAAAATTCCGGCAAATAAAAAACGAGGCAAGATTTTTAAAGCTTTGGAGTCGAATTTTTTATTAAGGCCTTGTGAAGCCGTTTATCAATTTTTAAACACGTAGTTAAAATTCCTCCGTGGTGCAAACATGAAAATTTAAATTAAAATAGGAAAAGCAGAAAAAGGAAGCGTGGAAAATAGAGAAAACGGCCCATATAGAAAAGCATTTTAAACCAAAACATGGCCACAACGTAATATTCACAGCAGAAACTGAAGCATATAAGCGGTAAAACATGCTTTTAAGACATTTTCTCCAAAGTCTCTTCCACCCGGCTCTAAAATTTTTTAACACTTATTTTACAGAAACGCATACATGTTTTTGGACAATTGTTCAGGAAATACAATTAGGGATGATCCCAGTTTTCATCCCAAACCATTTTTAGGGGCCCACAATCCCTAACTGGATTTTAAAAACTTTCTTGTTCAGTCCGACTCCATATCCAAAGGGCTTACCGGGGAGCTCTCTTGCAGCAGCTGCTCCAGACGTTGCACGACTCTCTCGCACAAGAAACACAAGCGTCCTCTCTCCGCCTCCTCGGGCACTGAGAAAAAAAAAAGGAATCAGTGTCACACGAAACTGTCACACGGACATACAGATTGTGATCGGACCGATGTCCGTTACGTCCACTTTTGATTGATTAAGTAAGATGTTTTACGGCACTATCGACTCAATTTGGTCTTGCAAGTGCCATCAAGTGTTATTGCAACAAATCTATTATGTGAATAAGGACGGACAGACATACAAAAAAAATCTGTAAATATGTTATACGACATTTACACGGGTATTTACAATATTAATTTCAGCGTTACGTCTGCAAAGCTGGAAGTTTCGTTCGGGCACGACTTACGGTCGCTATCATGTCGATGTGCTCTTTCTCAGATACCACCCCCC